CACACACACCAGGCACACCAGTCCCGTTTACACCTTTTTCCCCCGTTTTTCCCCGCTACGCTGCGGGTCAGTACAGCCCCGGGTAAATACCGGCGGCCGTCCCGAGCCCTCCCGCTGCGGGGCCGAGCGAGCCACCTCGCCCGGGGACAGAGAAGCCCAATGAAGTCAGTGTCACCACCGGCCCTTGGGGATTTCACTGGTTAAAACCCCCAAATCCCAGATTTGGGGCCCATAGGAGAGCAGCTGCCATCCGAGAAGATCCAGGGCAAACCCCTCAATACCAAAGGTGCAACAGCCCACCAGGAAATTCCCATTTTTCCATGTTTTTTTTATGGCAGGCTGGTCTACTACAGCCTGGAAAGGGAAAGCACAAACAAAACCTGCCAAATTATTTCACTCAGTTAAAAGTTGCTGAAATTTCACTTAAAGCAGATTTTGACCTTGGAGGCAGTGAACATTTGCCCAAAGGGGCAAGGTGAGAGTTTTACCCAGCGCCCTGGGCCTTCTCATCCTCTCCAGGTAAGCCAGGTCTATCTTAAAGCACAACTCTGGTAGCAGCACATTTGAAGAACATGAATTGAAATTTGAGTTGAAAACTTGTCCTCTCAAAGCAATACCTTTACATAAAAATTACTGTTCAAAAAACAGCTTTTATTTCAAAAGCATGTTTTTGACAGACTTAGCTGATACTACTAGTGTTCATAGCAGCTCAGAAATCATATAATTCAAGTGAGTTAAATGCATGAAAGGCTCTAGTAGCTTTCAAAACAACCTGGATAAATTTGAATAGGAAACATGAATTTTTGAGCTCTCCCATAGTTGTCTATTTCCCCCTTCTCCCYCCCCTTTTTTAACCTATCTGAACAGGTTAAAGGAAAGGAAGGAAAGCTTCCTTCTCCAATTCATGTAAAACAGGTACAGCAACATATGAGATTATTGGACCTTTGTTCCCTTTTCCAGCTACATGTTTGCTTACTGCTGTCTTCATGAGCTACTACTGGAATGAATATCTCCTTCCCACCAATCGCCCTCCTTCCCCTCAAATAAACCAAACAAAAACCAAACAAAAATCAAACAAGGGAGTAAAAACTACTAAATTATTTTTACTAGACTGTCCCTTCATAAGATGTTTCTGCTTAAGTAAACAGTATATATTGCATTAAAAGTCTCTTCAGATGTAGCCCCCATACCAGCTTCTATTCAATCCTCACTCATTGKTTTTTTTCCTTAGTTATGTGATAAGGTGGAATGGAGGGTGCTTTTTTGAGCTAGTTTTAAGGCTTAACCAGGTATTAAAAAAAAATCCTGTGCAATCAAAATTCTGTGAGGGTTTTTTTTTTTTTTTTTTTTTTAATTTTTTTTTATTTTGGCTGCTTCTAACATAGAGCAAGAAGGATAGTCCTTTCGGTCTAAAAAGCCCTATCACTTTATATGCAGAACTCAAAGTTCAAGTAATAAGAGCAAAAGAGCAATCCTTACAATGAATAAGATGAATAAGTAATTTTTTTCCTCCAATAAACAAGATGTAAGTTCTGAATGGACTTCGTTCTGCATTGAGCTACAACTGATAAGGATGCTGGGAGACTAAAATAGTGTTAAATGCACGTTAATGTTTAACTGTTACTAATTGTTTGATCTGCCAGTCTCTATTTAGTATTAGTCTTCCGTATTTACAACATAAAATACAGACTACATGAAAAGATTCTACGTTTTCAAAAAAGCCCGATAGCTTAGAATAGTTACCACTGTTTCCATGCAATGAATTTTATCTTATCACTATTTAGACACATCATTTTAGTAACATCCTAACATTTTTTATATGATTATCTTAGGTCTTTCTTTTCTGAAGTGTCAGCTTTTTTTTTTTTTAAAGCGTGGAAACATGCATAGACTACACGTAAGTGCAGTCATTGGAATTCCTTGCAGTTTTGGAGCAGGGTAATCACAACAGGCAATACTCCATCTACCATCCTACACGACTCCCACAGGCTATCTGGTGTTAGTTTTAAGATTAATCATCAGAGTAAGTAAGAGAACAGATACACACAAATTTGGAGGTTGGTTTATAGCTGCTACCAACCTTTCCACTTTTTACATCTCATATTTCAGTAAAATAGATGAAAACTGTAGCAAATCAGTACAGAAAGTTATCTCCGTTCACAACAAATAGATGAACATTTTTTTTCCTGTAAACACCGAAACAACAGGTTGTTAGAGAAGGAGACTATTTAAACACCACATTGTAAAACAGATCGATGTCACGTTGCAGTTCCTCTAAACAGAGGAGGAAATAACTTTAGATATCTCCTCAAAGCTACAGTTAGTAAAGAAGAAACCAAAATTCTACAAACCTTCAACTCTAGTGTTTACCTAAACTTGTTGATAAATTGATAGCATTTGGAAAACCAATTTTAAAAGCCAATATGCATAGGAAGGTAAAAGGGAAGTTACCAAAGATGTAGAACTGTAAGTTGAAAGACATTTCAAGAGCTCACAAGGAAGTAGAACTACTATATTCCTACTAAATGTTTTCCTTAAATCCACCTCTAGCATTCAGTAAGGTGTGGCATAGAAACAATTATCTAGTACATGAAGAAGACCTACCCATATTTGCTAATGGTAGGTTCCAACTTCTACTGTTGGTGCAAAAACAGAGAAATTCCTTAGGAATTTCTACAAAAATTTTTAGGCATGACCATCACAGAACACTTCAGCCTGGAAGATCCTTCTGGAGATCATCAAGTCTAACCCCACTCAAAACAGAGTCACCGAGAGCAATTTGCCCAGAACCACATCCTGTTGGGCTTGCAGTTCTCCAAGGATGGAGACTCCACCACCTCTCTGGGCAACCTGATCCAGTGTTCAGGCACCTGCACAGTTAAGAAGTGTTTTCTTACGTCCTGTTTTTCATTTCTTGTGTCTTTAGCTCTAATATAAATCTGTGATTGCTCTAATTTCAATTACATCTAGATGTAGATTTGCTAAGATTTTGTAAGACAAAGCATTTATTAATCTATAGTCTAAATATAATTATTAAATAATCTATCTTCTAAACATTTCAGCATTAGAAAAATAATTCCTGTAACATCACTATATTTAAAAAGCTTCCTCTTAGAGTATCCTATTACATCATTTCCTGCTTTGAAAAAAAAAGTAAAAGCAGTGATGTTAAGATATAAATCACTTTTTACTTACAAAATTTCAAATTCCAAGTTATTCCAAGATAAAATATTACAAGAGTCACAATAAATTGCGTATTTACACTATAAACACTTTATGCTACATTTGTAACTTCGCTTCAGTAGTTTTATATAGATTTTTAAAAGCACCCTTACAAATAAAAGTATTGCACTGGCATCACAAAAGTTCACAGTAAATTKAAATTCCAGACCTTGGTAAGACAGTGCAAGAGCTTTTCATTGTGCAAGAGCTTTTCATCCAGACATTCCTGGGTGTACATGTATATATTATAAAGAGGTACTTCTATATTAAATGTTATAATGATTTTTCCATGATTCATGTTCTTCTCTTTGTTAGTTCTCACATCTCAAAAGATTTAGGTTGCTTTGAAATGTTGAAATATACACTAAAAATTATTYAGTCCAACACTGAAATATGTACATTTGGCAGAGATACATCTGTGTCCATTTTGTAGAGTCCATGATGGTCACCAAGATTATTCCACAGTGAAAGAATCTTTTTGCAGTGTGGGCTATTCGCTTTCCACAATTTGCAACACTTCCCCCACATTTGGGGGCAGTCAACTTCATGTCTTCAACAAATCCTGAAGATAATCATTAAAAAAAAAAAAAAAAAAAAAAAAAAGTTACTTCAAAATAGACTTAGAACAGCATATCATGTAAATGATGAAAAATACAGAAATAATTTTTGTGAAGGACAGTATTCTTATTAAAACAAGAGTTCATGTTCCTGTCATTTACACTTTGCTTTATTGTCCTGTTGTAGTTTATTAGAATTTAAAGATTTCTTCGATATAGCATCTTTCCAAACATTTTAGCCCAGCTGCATGAATTTCTCCAGACTGGGGGCRGGGTGTCTGTCAGTAACAGAGTTTCCAATGTAGACACTTATTTAGGAGAGGAAACCAAATACTTCCAACGAGCATATTTCAAAGGGTTCTTTCAGAATCCTGAATTAGCTTTGAGAGTACAACTATTTGTTACCCTTTATTTTACCTTGAAGGGTAAAAGAAAAAAAAAGTTCATGTTGCATGTTGTAACATGACTCTCATACGCTCTGTTTTTGTTTGTTCTGAATTACAATTGCTAATGCAATTATACCAAAGGCTCTTCATTGTAGAAGATGCTGTTTACTTGGAAGAACTTGTTACAAAGCAATCAATGTATCTTCTTCCAGAGGAAATAATATACCATAGATTATTTTTAAATGAAATCAGTAATGTTTGTCATATTTGAAATATWAAAAAAAAATAAATAAAATAAAGGTAACTCTCATTACTAGGAGGAATTTATTACTCCAACGTAGCCCATGGATATTTCCATTGACTGGCTATCAGTCCAATATCCAGTATTGGATATTGGATATAGCACCTTATCTGTTTCCTCTGTTGCCCAAAGCTTAAGATGAAGGACTGTCAAATTCTAAATGCATTTCAGTTTAAAAAGAGGCCTAGCAGGAGAAAAACCCGTTATCAATAAGCCAGTTTCTAATTGCTGTTAGAGTTAATAATAAGCTAGATACTGGTAACTAATCTTTTAAAGCTATATTGCTTTCATTCTTTCTCCTCCTGAAACAGATTTTCAATTAAGCAATTGTTACCTGTTTTATTAATCTCTCTACAGTTCAAATTTCCTCTCAAGATTTTTTKTTGTTGTTGTTAAAGTTACAAAAACACCCCAAACATGATGATTTTCACACTAATTTTCTGAGCCAACAGCTGCTTCAAGAAGGAGCTTCAAGGCACAGCAGCCAAGGCTGACCCTGTACCCGGTGATCCAGAACTGCGGGATGCTCCGTGTCCTGCACTAGTTCAGACAGCTGGAGCCAGGTAGATTTTACTGTTCCTTCACAACATTTTATATGATGAAAGGCAAGAATTTTTTTTTATTGCTTTTGTTTTTCCAAGTCATTAAGCATACTTGTTTCCCTAAATAAATGCATTAGTGAGTGTGTCAGGTGTACTTCTGAAGGATTTCTCATCTTTAGCAGCGTTTGAAGCTGGACCCAAGCTCTTGCTCTGCTCACTAGCCAGCAGCAGGCCTGTCTCAGGGGACTATCGTTCACCACAAGGACCGGCTTGGCCATTGCTCGCACTGAGGCGTTGCAAGTGATGAGCCCTAAACGTTCCTAGGCCAAACCAAGACCCGGCTCCTCTGCTCCTCAAGAAAGCGGTGTCTCACAGGGCTGGAGAGGCGGCTCCACGCCAGAGCGGCGTCGCGGGCAGCTAAAGGTTGCGCGGGGAAGCGCAGGGCAGGGCAGAGGCCTCCGGGCACCTCGGGGAGCACTGGCCTCACYGCCTGCGCTGCCCCCTAGGCTTCCATGGCCCGGGGAGGCTCCTGCATGGAGTAACCCCACCCCCCCCGGGCGACTTGCCCTGGCTGCATTTCCACAATCCCCAGACAGGAAGGATTTCACAGGCAGGAAGAAAATATCCACTTCTCTCTCAGACTCTGTGCAACCCCCTTTTTCCTCGTTGCTATTCCCGCCCCCCAGCTCCGGGCTCTTCCCGGCCCCACCTGGCGGCGCTGGCGGCAGCGGGGCGGGCGGGGGCCGCCGGCGGCTGCAGCTCCACGTCGGCGGCGCCGGGGCCGGGTCTGGCGCGGGCGGCCCGGGCCCGCGTGCCCGTGAAGGCGGAGGAGAGGCGCAGGCTGAGCCCGTGCACCAGCCCGCGCAGCAGGCTGCCCTTGGGCGGCACCAGCCCCACGTCGTCGCGCAGCTCCTCGGGCGGCACCTCCAGGTTGCCYGCGTACCAGAACACCCACCACACGAGGCTGAGGAAGATGATGATGCCGCCGCCGTAGATGAGCAGGTCGGAGAAGAAGACGTCGGCGAACACRCCCGCCAGCAGCACGGCCAGCCCCRCCGCGTCGAAGGCCAGCGCCAGCCAGAAGGCGAACACGCAGCGGCCCAGCCCGCCCGGGGCCGCCATGGCCGCGGGGCAGCAGCAGCGGCGGCGCCGCCAGCYGCACCTCAGCGAAGGCGGGAGCAGGGACACGCACCTGAGCGGCCCGCTCCCGCCCCGCGCAGGTGCCTCCCGCCCCTCAATCCCGCCTCCTGCTCCCGCCCTGCGCAGGTGCCTCCCGCCGCTCCCGCCCACTCTTGGCGCTGAGGTAAAGGGTGGGCTCCACATTCAGGTCTCTTTGGGCCATTCAGTTGTGGTAGGGACTGCTTGGTCCTCACCACARTCCTTGCTCACATCCATGCTACACTGGGATTACTGATGGGAATAGCAGTTGCACTGTAGGCTGCAGYGTTCCTGGTGCTTTAGGATTATAACGTTTCTTCAGGAAGAAGTGCATGAGGCCAGAGGCAGCGTGAGCAGCACCATGAGGAGGCAGCAAGCACTGAGGCCAGGCGGGGTTATCACCTCCGTTTGCCAAGCCCTGTCCCGGCCAACAGCCAACGCGGCTGCTTGGACGCGGCAGCGAGCCCCAAGGCTGCTTCTGTGGAGGCAGCAACCCACCTGGCCTTGCATGAGCTACCTGCAAAGCAGCATCCCTCACTCCTGCAGGACGTGGGGGACGTTGAAGTAAGAGGCAAAGGTGAGCATCCCCCTGCCCAAGGCCCTCCCTGGGGGGTCCCCTGCGTTCCCCAAACAAGGAACAGCCGGGAGGTGCGAGCCATGCTGCAAACCCTCCTGCTCAGGCTTGTCCCACGGCTGGGGCTGCCCTGGGTGCGACAACTCTAACTCCCCTATCACAGAAAGCTCTTCAGAAGTGCTGTTGAGTCCTTTTCCTGTCCCTTGAAATATCCAATAAATTCTTCAAGTGTTGTAAGCAGTCATCTCAATTTAATGAATAGCTTATTAAAACATGCCTTTGTTTGCATTTTCTCTTCTAAGTGATTGACTTGTGTGAAAGAGAACAGTGAAATGGGCTTTGTGACAGGTTTTGCCAATTTTGGGGGAAACAAAAAGAGGTTGTATTTTTGTTACGATCCTTTCAGTCATAAGCTGTCTGGTATAAGTATGGCTCTAGTAAATTCTAGAGCAGAAGAGTGCTTCTTCAAGCAGAAGAGTGATTTTTTAGGTTGACAGTTTAGTGTAATGCATAGATAATGCTTTTTATGGAATGAATTATATATTTTTTCTAAAAACAGAAGAGTTGGTAGCTTTAACATTCAAATGTTTAACATATTTTGCCTTGTTGTTATCATTATGACAGTGTTTTTCTTGCTGACCAGTAAATGTCTTCCATCAGAAACCTGCCAAATCCCCAGTGAGGCTGTTTTACTGCCGTGCTCAGAAATGTGTCTCCGCTGCTGCTGCTGCCAGAGGCTCCGTTGTTAGATGATCTCTGCTGCTCATCTCAGAGGCTGCACGGATGGGAGGAAAATACCCTGTGCACAACGTAAGCAGGTGGAAGGAGGRGGGCTTAAAAATGCAGCCTTGCTCAGGAAAGCCCACCCCCGTGTGGGTGTCTGTGTGCTGATGTGTCTGAGGGATGAGCTATTCCTCCTTGCTCCCATAATGTCTCACTGTTCATGAGGGAACTCTTTAATTAATAATGGAAACRGTCTTGTACATTACTGCTCCATTTGCTAATGCTCATTCCAGCTAGCTTCAAAGCTGTCCTTCACTCAGGTTGAGGACTGCCCTTAAAAATCAATGATGGATTTAATATGGCACCAAAGTAGGGAGTCTTGTTATTTTGTTGTATTCTTTACTCATGTCTCATCAGCAGGATTTTCTCTATTTGCTGAACCTTTAATAATGACAGGCTGACTCTAGGTGTTTGTGCTGCATCCATTATTGCTGCAACTGAGCATTTATCTGTCACCTTAAGCATGTATTGAAAATTTCTTTTAAATCTACCTTAGGTTTCCAAAAGCTCTGCAAATGAGTCTGCAGGAGCCTCTTTTATATCTTATAAAAAAGCAAATGGAAAGAAATGAGGGAGTTAATATGAAGTTTCTAAGTGTGGCTGCCCCTTTTCAGCTTGAAAGATTGCTCCTAATCAGACATGTCTCTGTCAGCTGCAGCTTGTCAACTGAAAGTAGAGGAGGAAAAACATGGTTAGGCTCAATTAGAGGAAATAAAGCAGAAGAAGGGATTTCAAATGCCAGTTTTGATACCTATATTTTATACCCACACCTTGTTTCATGTTTCTCTGTGCTTCTCATTAATATGGAAGGGAATTTGATCTAGGAGGGCTACTACAAAACATTATAGTGGTTAGTGTTTAAAAAAAAAACCCTGCTCCTTTTACTGTATTTTTACTGTATTTCTTCTCTACTGGGTGAAATGTTTCTTTGGGTGCCATGAGATGCCCTTTCTTGCCTTTGTCAAAGCTTTTGTACGAGGAGTAATAGAGATGCTGAATGTTCAAAGGAAGTATCTTGTACATCTACACTTTCTGCATTTCTCATATAATGTGGCTTTTAAAAATATATATTCATATTTTACAGTAAAGGGGCTGAAGTTGGTTATTAGGGTGAAATGAACAGGTCTAGAAATCCTGACCTCATTTTGGATTTATTTTCTTCTCCTGGTAGTTCAAGACATACTCATCAATTTAATATCTAATTTAAAAAAATCCATGTGAAAATTAGTCAAAAAACACCCTGAACTTATTATTTGCAAGGTTTTTTGGTGTTAATAGTCACAGTAAACATAATTAGCATTTGTCCTGAAAAACACTCTTGTATATCAGTAAAAAAGCAATGAGAATTAATAAAATATGAAGATAGAAGATGGAACAAATTCTACAAAGTCTTAGAGCAGATCACTACCGCAGACAGTGGTTGGTGAGTAGTACATTACTGTCTTAAAGAAATCCTATACAATTTGCATAATGCTTCTTGTATGACAGAGCTCTCGAGGGAACTTAAGCTGAGAGTACTGAGGACAAATTGTCTAGTGCATGGGTTTATTAGTGCACAAATAAAGGAAAACCAAAGCCATTCTCCAAAGCTTTGAACACAAAAAGCAAGTCAGCACTTTAACTGATGTGGGCAGGATGGGGTGTTTGAGCTACCTCTGTGCAGAAGTGATGGGTTCACAAGGACAGTTTCCAAGTTGCTGAATGGTCTGAGCAGTAAATTTACTCTAATGGATCAGAAGATATATATATATATATAATGTAATTAATGACTGGATATATGCTAACATATTATATATGATACATATTTAGCAATAACCGAATGGAATGGAACCGAATGGACTTTGGAGAACTGTGTCCAAAAGATACTTGCTGTAAGTAAAGAGGCCATTCTTTAAACTGTCCAGAAACATTTCTGAGATTCACTGGAGAGATTTAGAGGAGAAACTTTTGAAATTCTTCAATCTTACCACAGCAATAGATAGTGTAGTTAAAAATGTATCAAGCCAGTACATGGGAAGATGATGTCAGAAACTTTTATAAGTCTATGCTTGAATACTGTTGTCACAAATAAATTTACAGCATTTCAAAGATAGAATGAAAGTTTTAATGCAGAATTCAAGGCACACCTCTACTTTCTTATGTTCTTTAAAAGACTCAAAGGGGATTACAAAGAAAAAAAGGGCGGGGGGGGAATTTCCCTCAGGAATTTAGAGATACGTGTTTGTGAATCTCAGAATTCATCCAGAACAAAAGTGGCTTTTACTTGTGTTTTCTGAGCACTAAACAAATCTTCTGTGAGCTTTCCTATGTGGCCTAGCGTCCTCCTGTTTTTTTCTGCCACCCTCTGAAGCCTAAGGCTCTCATTATAGCTCTATCAGGACCATAAAATACCTCATTGATTAATCATTAGGGTGGGATAAGGGATGGATTATGTTACGTGGCCCCTGACAACACTCTGATTCCTTCTGCTTCCCACAAATGTGTCTGAGATCTTATCCGGTGTTTGCACAGTCTTGTGCCTCCATTGGATTTTTTTGTTGTTATTGTCTGTGCATTTCTACTACTGTTTTTCACACTGCTGATGAAATGCAGAGACTGGAGAGGATAAACTCCTGTGGCTGCAAAGAGTGAAGCATCACATAAAAGCGGTTAAGTACTTTTGGAGTAAATGAGAGGACTATTTGAAAAACCGATGGTGCATTTAGTGGAGTCAATGGATGTACCCACTTAATCTGAACACTAATTTCATGGTCTTGAAGGTATCCAATGTGTGTTCTACAGTCCATTTAATGACAGAGGTTCCATACAATAATTAGGAAGCTCCATGTCACCTTCTTGACTCAGAAGAAAACTAGACAATCTCAGAAAGGGGATTCAGGGTGAAGAATATATGAGGGTCTGTGGTCTGTAAGTACCTCCTAAGGGGTTATAGCTGATTCTGGGCAGCTCTCAAGTCCTTCAAAAAATGCACAAAATTCAGTAGCTAGAAACTGAAGAGAAAGAATATTTTTGAAAATGAAATACATCACAGTGTTTCCAATGGATGTGGTACATTGACTAATTAACAAATCAAGTCAGGATATCTTGTAAAATACAAACCACAAGTCACTACACAGATCACAAATTACCAAGTGAATGATATTACATAAAATGATCAGTGTTTTTCCTGACTTTAACAAGTATGGAAGAGGCTTCTGTGGTTTTATGTACATTGGTTAATGTCACTGTAGGATTTTAAGAGGTCTTCCAAAAATACAGTCTTCTGAAACACCCATTTTTTTCTGAAATCTGAAGTACCAAAAACATTTAGTCCTTCACACTGGAGGAAAAAAATACAAAAAGAAAAGAAAAAAGCTAAATAAAGAACATATGGGTATTAAAACATAGTCTTGATTTATCATTGCTTTTATGTTGTCCGTTTCTGTTGTCTGGATGGATAAGGAAACTCTTTAGGACAGAGATATCACAGTCATATCCTTTGAATATTTCATTTTTAGTCTACTGTTGATGGAAAAAAAAAAAGACGTGATAATATTTAAGGTTCTGTGATTTATGCAATATAAAAATAAGAGGGATGGCATATGCATTTTTTTCCTTTCCAGTTCTTCATGTGGAAGTGGTTATCTGGACTTTCGTGGAAGTATTTATCTGGACTTTCTCTCACTTACAGCAGCATTCAGTGGTTCTTCAACTTCTTGACTCATCAGTAGACTTTAAATTATTTATGGATTTATAAATACAGAAATATATTTTTAATTGAACTTCAGGCAACCACCTGTCTCTTTCAATRGGAGCTCTAACAACTCCGTTGAATCCAAACAAGCGGCTTTCGGAGAAAGGAGAATGTAATTAATCTCGGACCGCCTCACCTCAAGGATGCCTGCTGGCCCTTTGGAGATTACAATCTGGAAGTGTGGGTAATACCATAAACTCATCAGGCTTTGCAACTTAATGACTTCTGTCAGTGCTGCTTTCATTATGGTTTATTATGTGCATGAGGAAAACATGAGAACTTTATATATTATCTAGAGGTCTTTTATATACCCTCTAGATTATATGGAATTGAAACATAGTAGTTGAATGTAATGAGGAATGAACCAAAATACATCATAGCATAATTACAGACCTGACAAAACCATTATTTCTCTGCCAATCCTTCCTTTTGGAGAGACAAGCAGTTTTATTTGTATTTATTTATTTTTAATGATAAATGCAGCTTTTCCCCAAAGATGTCATGCAATGAATCTGCARTACACTAGCAAAGGAGTCAGGTGTAATAACATAAAATAGAATGGAATAGTGAGAGGCTTAAAGCTGTTAATTACAGATGAGATGTGATATTCCCATTGCAATTATCCTGTTCAGGTAGATACAAACTCCTTTCTCTTCGTGTAACTGAAAGATTTTAGGATCAGTGAAATCAAATGCACATGTTAGGAGCCTTTTGACAAATGGTAAGCTCGGTTCTCTATGTTCCTGGGTTAGGCTTGATGCAGGAATTGGACCTGGACATGGGAGGTTCCTTTCTGCTGCCTTTGTGCTCACACTGCACAGCCGAAGTCGGTTGAATCTGAGCCCTGGCAGAGCACTCAGATTTGCTTTCAGAGGTTTTCTACCGTTGTTCTGCATAGTGGAATTGGGATTTATCCAAGTACACCCATTTTGGCATGCCCGACACTGACAACTCTATTATGTTCAGGACGTGCCAGTGCGCTGAGGGCAGACTGTCTGGCGCGTTGGTGCTTTACATTGCCATAGAAAGATGAAAAGACTGAGATCAAGAGCACACTCGGTAGCTTCATTTAGCCCTCGAGCTCCTTTACGCTCAACTCCAGCACTCCTCCCCGTGTGGTCTTTGTGGTCCACTTACTACCTCTGCCTTGGTTTCTTCAATCTATGAAACTGAGATGGGATGCACAAGAATTTCTAAGACCTGATTAGTATTKCTTAAACAGGAGTTTCTGAGTATATTGCTGTTAATCTTTAGTTTTATACASAATGATAATTCTTTAAAAATCATTAATATGTGTATATCTGTAATCTCACACTTAATTGTTCTTTATTCCTTCTGTTTGCATGATGTGCTATTACACACAACTTACTGATTTGGTACAGAATATTCCTTTGCTGCATGGAAAAACTCCAATTGTCTGAGTTTGGCAAGACTTTCTTTTCTATTTTTTTCTAGATAGTAAGATTTTTCTGGACAGGAGCACTTTTCATCCTACTGCTATTGTGGAGTGATGAGTGTGCTGCTGCTGTGGCTCATACTTGGAGTTTCAATGCTTCTTCCATACAAAAATACACTCACTATTAATGATAGAAAATGACCCTATTTAGAGTATTCATATAGGTGTTCATTCAGGTGAATGAGTATTATTTGAATCTCAGGCTGCATTTTTATAGTATGTGCTCCAAGTGCTGGAGGCTGCCTCTGGTTCCTGGCAGTTTGTTGCTTTCCAGAGGATGCTGCTGCTTATAGCAATCTATTGATTAATCTCTCTGATTGTGCTGCTGCTTTCAAAGGCTCAGGTGCTGCATTATTTTTTCTTGCTTTCTGAGGACTTAAAATGGTGACTTTTGACCCCTGGTTTYAGCTGTTCCCTTGTCCCTATCTTAATGGCTCTGCTTTCATTGCAGTGAAATTCTCTGCTTTCACTGTCGTGACTATGGCTACCTTGATCTTGGAAATGTAATTATCTGAATTGAACTAGATACTGTAACTACTGCTGTAATATCTACTGCACTGCTGTGTGGATGTGAAGGAGGGCCCTGATTTTCACAGGCACTGGGAGGAAACRTGCAGGTCTGCTTCATGTGTTTTCTGCTAGATGGCGAATTTAGAAGTTTTAAATAGATGAGGGCTGTTTYATTGTGCCCTTTGTGCTGAAGGCCGTGGTCATTAGTGTTTCCCGTAACCAAACCTGCGGTGACTGTTTGCATTGAATTAGTCAGCTCTTTTGCTCAGCGGTGCAGACCTGGGCTTGGATGTCAATTGGGACGAGCGAATGGGCCGGGTACACGGCAGAAGCGGCATTCGCTGCTCCGATGCCCGCAGCGAGCTGGCTCCGCAGCAGCGCAGTGACTGCAGCCCGCCGGCGGAGCCGTGCGCTGGCGGCGGGGCTGCTCCGCGGACCCCGACACGCGCGTCCCCCGCAGCCCGGGCACCGCGCCGGGGCGGGGCGACGCGTGACGCGCAGCCTTGGCGCCCATTGGCGGGGCTCCGCGCAGGGGGCGGGGCTCCGCGCAGGGGGCGGAGCCTTGGCGCAGGGGCGGGGCTCCGCGCAGGGGGCGGAGCCTTGGCGCAGGGGCGGGGCGCAGCGCGGAGCAGAGCGGGCGGCGGCGGCGGCTCGCGGTGCCCTCGCAGGCCGGCACGATGCTGGAGATCCAGCTGGACGATGGCGGCGTGGGGGGGTACCCGGGCGACGACTACTGCTCGGGCTCCGTCATGTCGGAGCGCGTGTCGGGCCTGGCCAACAGCATCTACCGCGAGTTCGAGCGGCTCATCCACTGCTACGACGAGGAGGTGGTGAAGGAGCTGATGCCGCTCGTGGTGACGGTGCTGGAGAACCTGGACTCGGTGCTCACCGACAACCAGGAGCACGAGGTGGAGCTGGAGCTGCTGCGGGAGGACAACGAGCAGCTGCTCACGCAGTACGAGCGCGAGAAGGCGCTGCGCAAGCAGGCCGAGGAGGTGAGCAGCGCCCGCCGCCGCCGCCGGCCCCGCAGCGACCATCTTGTGCGCGCGGCGGGGCCTGCGCGGCGGGGCCTCCCCCGCGGGGCCTCCCCCGGCCGCCCCTCGCGCGGCCCCTGCGCCGCCTCGGGCCGTAGCGACCGAGCGGCTCCCCCGCGCGGCCTCGTCCGCTCCTTCCCGGGGGGGGCCCGGCCCGGCGCTGCGGCGAGGGTCCGGGCGGGGCCGGCGGGTGCCGGCGCAGGCCCCGCTTCGGGCATCAGCGGTTACCGCATCCCCGGGAGCCGGGAAGCGGCCGAGCCGCCCGCAGGTGCCGCTGCCCTCCGAGCGGGGCGGAAAGAGCGGGCGGAAAAACCCGTATTTTCCCGAATTCGTCCGATTTAGCCCCGAATGACCGCCGGAAATGCGGATGGCTTGTGGTGGAAAAACATACTTTAAAAATGCTGTTTACTCTCCGTGGTGGGCTTAACCTGGCTTGGTCACGGTGCCCGGTTTCACTGTAGTGGCCTAGTGCAGGTTTTCAAATCCCAATGGTAAACGGTTTATTTGGAGCAAAAAAACAGGTTTTATAGGGTTTGGCATCTGAATTTTTGAATCTTATTTTACCAAGGCTGCCTTGGTGAAGTCTTATTTTACCCTGAGCCTTAACACCACAGTATCTCACGTTAGAGCCTGCAGTTTCCAAATACATGGCTCTGCTTTCATGGACGCGCTGACAGAGGGCCCTGCTGCCCGTCTGGAGGGGCATCTGAAAGCGGATCATGAAAGATTCCCCCGATGGAAAGAAAAGGGAAACCCTTGGGTTGTCCAGACTTGGCAGCAGCCACAGGAGAGAAGGGAGGTAGCATCTTTCCTGGCCACTTGTACGTTTGCTTGTCCCTGCTGAAATCAAGAGCGTTTCCCTAGATATAAATGAGCCTTGTGAACCACAGGGTTTGCTCTCTGGCCTCCTGAAGCAACAGCCCATGAGCTGGCATTAAGGACTGATGGTGGGAAAATTTCATCCCCTGCCACATCATCCTTGTTTCTTTACACAGTTACGTAAAAACTGTCTCTTAACCTGAAGTCATCTTGTTTTTTTTTTTTTTTTGCCATATTTTAGATTAGGAGAGAGCGAAAGACTAAAAATGCTGCTTTTAGACTACAATACATACAGAGCTGCACCTCCATAATTATTAGTTTAATGATAAGTAGAATTTGGGATTAAAAATTTGAATAGTTCTAGCTCAGGTGACTAGCTCCAGCTTTCATAGACTTAAGTATCCTCCTCCTCTTTAAGCTCAGAAGGTTCTACTGTGTAATTATTAAGAAACAAGAATACTTATATTCTTCTTGAAATCAAAGCTATTCTGTTAATTACTGTTTACTAAATCAGAATTGGACTCTTGGAAAGACTCATCAACTCCTTATGTATTGCAGATAATCTTTCCTTTTGTAAATTGCAAACCAAACTAATCAAAAATACAAAACAGGAAAAAGAAACCACGGTTTTCACAGGAGCCCCATGTATTGCTGCTATGTAGCAGTGCCCATGGTGAGGAGGGAAGGTCCATCCTGCTTCCTCTGCAGGCTCAGCTTTGTGCTGTGCCTTAGCTCCAGCCTCTGCCCTGCTGCTTTAAATGGGAGGATCCTCCTCTGGGAACTGGGTTTATTCCCAGYGGTCACTTCTCTCTCTATGTAACTTGCAGCGATAAGAATCGCAATGATACGGGGGTGTTGGGAGATGAACATGAGAAACGGAACTTTTATGTGTAATATTGTCAAATGGCCCAAGTTCTCTTTCCTTTATTTTAGTTTATTAATATAAAATTGACTAAAACCGCAAGTGGGCATTGTTGTGGGGCATTAAAAGGTGCATTGTATTCTGTTGTTAGTCACTACTGCAGAGCCAATAAATCTTGCCTGGTACATGTTTATGAAGAAATTGTTGTGCCCAAATGGGACTCTCTGGTACGTTTTATTAAATTAGGACTGCTATTAACAGCTCTCATCTTGCTCTGCTAACTGTTCTAAAAGGAAGGTTTCTTTCTCGCTGGGTTTCTGTCTCTTTCTTTAAGTAGCCTATATAGGTTATCCTTTAAAGCAGTGTTTGCCAGAAGCTAAATGGCACTTTCTCAATGCCGTGGCTGCGGAGTGACTCAAGATTTTCTACTTGTCCTAAAATAAGCCAGAACAAGTACTGAGATGAATAGACTGAAAATGGAAGTTAATTAAAATGAGCCAGTGCTGTCAGTCCCTGTGATTTTGGGGTTTCAGTTTACCTTGACCTCCAAGCAGTTTGTTATAGGAGCTTGTATCAAATCTTTGATGTTTCTGTTTTCTTCCGTTTGTTTCGTATTGTTTATTAATATATGGTAATTGCTTCATGTACGGTATGCTGTTTGTGGTGCTGTATCGTAATGCATCTTGTTGCTTATTTGTTGTTTGTAGCTTTATCCCTTAAGGAAACGAAGGTAATGATTTACCACCGTAATCATGACCAGGTGGTCCTCGCAGCTACTCAAAAGGAGCATGGGGAGTGTTGTGACTAGATGAGAAAAGAGCTAGGGAATAGCAATTGAAAATCCCTGTGGGGAAAACAACAATAACAGTTTCTTTTTTGTCTGCTGTTAGCTACTTATTTTATGTAAAACTCTTTTCTAATCTTCTGTATTCTTCTCCTGAAGAAAACCACTGCTACTAAATTTGGACACCTATGTGTTTTAGGTACCATTTTCTGAAAAGTGTTAGTCACATTTGGGCTGTAATTCTTGGATTAGTGTGCAAGTATCAATATATTTAAAAGCTATTGTGGACTAGGAAAGCTCAGGATTGATTGGTTTACATTAGAATTGCCCCTTGGAAGCCAGAGGAGCAACGCGGAGCTGCAGGTGTGGAGCTGGCCCTCTGGCCTCCTGTAACATGACGGCCACTTGCAGTGAGATTTAATTATCACGAGGGAAAGGTCGTGACTGTCTGGAGAAGCCGGAGTGTGTTAATGCGAGGTGCAATCTACAACTAATCGATGACTTGCAACATCAGTTAGTGCTCATTGGAAGTTTTAAACTGAATGTTAATTTAATATATGCATGCACATAGCATAAAATTAAGTTCTTTATGCTAGTTAGTATGTCTGACTTGCTAATGAAAGCTTTTGTGCTTTGCATTCAGCACTGAGGTAATGCAATGCCTAGAAGCAATCTCCGTTGGAAAAGCGCTAGAGAAGTCCCTGTCCCTGTAGAAGTGGCTGTTCCTTCTCAGTAATGGCTGCTCTGCCTGTGGTGGAGGGGCTGTTTSCGAGCCTGAGGAGTAGAAAGGGTGTGTTTAACACTACGTGCATCCGAGTTATTTTGGGCTTCCCTGTTCAGCTCTCGGGACAAGGTTCAAACCCCTGTGGAGAGTGGAGGCGCTGGTGCATTGTCCTGTAACGTACCCGTTGAAGCTGTGAGTACCGACCTGTCTCCAAAGCCCTGTCAGAACCAGCCTGAGGACCGGGAACGTGCCTGTGCTGCCTGGTTGCWCAGTGACGTGGGGCTTGCTGCAGGACTCAGAGGTTCCCAGTAGTCCGTCTGTGACAGCTTGGCCTCGAGGTGTCTCTGTGAATGTGTTTGCTCTGGTGCTTTCCTGAAAAAGATCTGCTTTTGCTGGCATTGCCACTGGGGACTCATTTTTTCTAGGTACATGSGTGCCATCCTACCCCAATTCCACAAAGCAGCAACTTCTCTGTCTTCTGAAGTATGTTGCCATGGCCATCGCTTTGCCTTTATGACTTGCTGTGCCCATTTTTGTTTTGCATTTAAAAACAATTTGCCTCTAGAGTTCTGTTTGAAAACCATTTTGGAAAGAAATGATCCTTTCAGGAAATGGTAGCATTGTAGCTGTTACAAATTTCCATGTGGCTTAAGATACCTAAAGGAAACTTAAGCACATTGTCTATAGTGCAAGTTCACTATCTCCTATCTGCATTTTAAATATCTGGAGGCCTTTAGAAGCCTGGCCTCCCTAGTTCATTAAGGGATGCTTTGGATAGTGTCTCTCCCTCTTAGGCTAATCCTGCTTAGTGAGAGGAAGGGTTGTAGAAGTGATGCTTTGTGCTCAAGTACTTGCTCTTCTTACTATGGACACTCTTTCCTTTTTTGCTTTCTCTCTTCTATGTCTGCAAAATGAACCTTYTGGTCTGGGAAGGCGCTTTCTCTTTCCCCACCCTGAAACCTGACCCCATGAAGAGCTGATTGATGGGCATTTCTGCAGCCTGATGATGATGTCATAGCATTAAAGGAGAAAAACATGCAGGAGTAGCAGATAGCAGATAACAAAAGGCTTTGCCTTTCAGGTGGATCCTTTCCCCTGTGTCTATTTAYGAGTAGCTAGCAATCATGCATATGCAGACTTAATTAACAATTGCCTGTATGCAAGATCTGCCTCTATATTCTTATGATGCCTTTTCTCTTTATAACCTGTGGGGGTTGAGAACTGCTTCAAGTTTAAGAAATATTTGCTGTAGCTTTAAACTGATTCCTTTTCGGCAGCTCCCTGCTCCTAAAGTGGCAGGTGGCAAAAGACCATCTGCAAGGGTTCAAGAGCAGGAGCTGCTCCCTTCCTCCCCCACAGAATCATATTAGTATTAGGAAGGGCAGTCTGGCCTTTCTGTTTACATCCTTCCTTGTGCACATCATCAGAAATTATAAAATGAGTAGATGCTTGATAGAGCATGTATCTGGAACAGCAGAGTGAATTAAACCCAGCTTGACAGCAGTGCAGCAGCTTGCAAAATACAGACTGTGCTGGTCTATTCCTGGGTCCTTGCCTCCCGCTGAGTCTTTCTCAGTGACATAGTGGCCAGCTCTGGATTTGTGGTGCAGGGAGATGGAGAAGAGATGTGTCCTGCTGCTGGTGAGAAACCCATTTGGTCGCATATACCAAAGGGCATAAGAGTAATAGTTTGCTCACAGAGACACGTGGGCAAATAAAATGTCACTACGAATCAAATTATTCTACAGCCTGGGGATAGGGGGGTGGATAGA